GGGGCCCCCATCTCTGGGCTCCCCAACAGAAGTGATCTGTGATTACTGTAATTCTGAGACTTGCACACTCAGTCTAGGCATCAAAATGAGCAAGCTTCAGTTTTACTTCCATGTCTGGTGTCCTCTGATTGGGTCTGATTGTGTCCTTTAGCCTCTGCACGTGTCCCCCCACCTGCCGCGGGCCAGGGGATGGCCCAGAGTTGGGAGAGGCGTTCCTGCCTGGGAGCCAGGGAGGGGTTCGGGAGGGCGCCGAGGAGCGTCTCGTCCAGGACGGACTTCCTTTCACAAAGTGGGCATTCAGAGTCCACAGTGGTGGCTGCTATCCCAACATTAACTTGGAAACCTAAGAGAAGAAGAAATCCCACCACAGAGGGATTTCTAAGCACTGTCCCTCGTGTTTATTGTACCCAGAAGCCCAGCTCTGGACTCAGTTTCCCCTCACACTACCCGGCCAGTAACAAGGTGCAGGGGGTGTGGCAGTCACAGCTCCCAGGCAGCTCGGTGCTGTTCCCAGACCGCAGGCTGAGACAGGGCACAGAAGGGCCGCCACCTTACCGACGACAGTGCACGTGCTTGTATCTCTGCTGCAGGTTGAGACTACAAATGCCACGCCAGAGGAGGCTGTTTTGGAAGCCACACGTGGGAAAGGACATTGAAGAGCGTTTGCTGGCGGTGGTGCTCACGATAGTGGTTTTCTCTCACGTGCCCCAGCAGAGGGGGGCACAGAGCCGGGCCAGGTTGGGGAACTGGGCCCCCCAGAGCTGGAGCCTGGAGGAGTGTTTGCCAGCCAATCTATTTCTATTAGGAAGCGGTCAATTCCATGGTAATTAGTTCTATGTACAATTTAAAAACTCATCAAAAGGGGGACAGCGCTTAGTCAAGTTTATAAGCAGGAATTAAATTCGGCGTACTCTCACAGATCAGGAACCTTTCCTTCTGGAAGGCAGTTTAGAAGAGGGGCTCAAAGTAGTAACCATCCTTACTGTGTCAAAATAAACGAGATCGTAAAGATTAGTGTCAAGTGTTTTCAATTAAGAACTAAAACGTCATGTTTAATTTAAAAACTGAGACACAAAATTTTTAAAAAGTTGAAAAATGAGGAATTTGAGAACCTGAACTGGAAAAACGGGTGTAAATCTACAACGCAGCTGCGACACGCAGAGACCATGTGGAAGGGACACGCTCATACATGAGAGCCATCGATTCTGGGTGGCAGATGACTGGTCGTTTTAATTTGTGTGCTTGCCCGTGTCTGTCAGGCTTTCCCCAACAAGTACATACTACCTTTATGCTTCGAAAATGGAAATAACTGAGTATCAAATTTATCATCAGACATCATGATTAAAGATGACCCAGATCTTTTCAAGAGTTTATTTATTTTTTAGAGAGAGGGTAAGAAAAGAGAGGGAGAGAAATGTTGATGTGAGACAAATACCCATCGGTTGCCTCTACACACCCCCTACTGGGGACCGGTCCCAACCCAGGCCTGCGCCCTGAGGCCTGCGCCCTGACCAGAAATCCAACCGGCTGCCTCTTGGTTCCCAGGCGCTCAATCCACTGAGCCACACCGGGCCAGGGTGACACAGAGTTTTACAAAGTTAAAATTATACTCGGTCATTTTTCATGTTTTCATAACACTTTTTTTAATTTAAAAGAAATTCTGTTTCTTTTAGAGCAGCGTTCTTTTTAAACATTTCTCTTCCAAATGCTTTTACTGTCATCATCCCATTGTGCCGGGTGCTGGGGACACAGCAGAGGATAAACAGGGCATGGAACCAGCCCTTCTGAAACCCACTGAGGAGAGGGACCCATTAAAAGGACCCGCCCAAACTGTGAAGGGAAGAAAGGGAGGCATACTCCCGGTTACACCAAGAAGAAAGGCTGCGTGTTTCTGATTTTCCCAGGTGGGACGTCTAAGGCTCCTTTCTGACTGTCTGTGAGCATGTGTGCAAGAGCAGGACCACAACCGGCAGTGAGCAGGAAATGGGGGGGGCCTGCAGCTGGACAGGGACTTCGGAGGCAGGTTGGGCTACGCTGGCGCCTGGGAACAGGAGCCCAGTTAGTTCTGGATGCTTCAGGCGTCCATCCAGCCTTCTTCGGGCTGAGCTTTGGTTTAGGGGGAGGGGATGACAAGAAGTGCTGCTGACCAGGGTGTCACCATCCAGAAAGGGAACAGAAGAAGGCTCAGGTGGTTGGAGTGCTGCCCCACACACTAAAGGTTGGGGGTTTGATTCCCGCTCAGGGAACACACCTAAGTTGTGGGTTCGTTTGGGACGCTTACGGAAGGCGACCAATTCGTGTTTCTCTCTCACGTCGATGTTTCTGTTTCCCCTTCCTCTTTGTAAAATCAACTTATGTATTTTCAAAAACTGGCAAATGATAAATGTGAGTATATACCCGCATGAGAGAACAGAGAGGGAAGTTCTGAGCTTTACCCGATAGTTGCTTCCCTGAGTGTTATTTGAACAGAGTCTCTAGGAATAAGAATAAAAAATTGCAAAGTAGAGTGGGGAGGGCAAAAGCAATCTATAATGAAAGGGAATAACATCTGTACAGAATGTTTAATACAAGGAACATTCTGAGAACTGCAGGTAACACATGAGTAAAACAAGGTTAAAGGTGGGGAAGTCATACCTTTAACAAATATTGGAGAATTTACACGACTCAAACTGTACTAGGGGCTGTGAATAAATATGAAGACCTAGTCGCTGTGCTCAGGGATCTCTTGAGTCCAGTGGGAGAGGCAGATGAGGAACTGGCCACTTGAACCTCCTGCAATAGGAGTAGGAGCAACAATAAAACAAGGTCTTGGACACCTTTCCAACATCAAGATATCAGAAAAGGAAAGTGTCCTTTTTCTGCCAGGGGACAAGCTGACTTATTTAGATAGAGGGCCACTCCCCTTCTCCTACCCATCCCCCGATTGGCCTGTCATCACGCAAATGAGGACTCCAAATCCTAGTAGTTTGATTGGACCAAAAGGCATTGTGGAGTTTTCTCTGATTGATTGGTCAGTGAAGATTTTGATGAATATAGCTGCCCTCTGATTGGATGAGGAAAACCTTGGTCTTAATGGTTGAAATAGGAGTTCAGAAACTGCTTTATAAGGGTTGTCTCAAGCGGCAGAAACACAGTGCAGGCTTCTTCCTGAAGCGTCATCTTTGGATAGGTTCCTGTGCAGAAATGGGTGCTAGGTCCTGGTTTTTTTTTATTTTTTGGCACTTGAGCCCAGGTAGACACCAGCAGCCTTTCTTAGTAGGTGTGGTCTCTTCTTTCTCAGGGTTTACCCACTTAGTTTTATTTGAGAAAAAACTTTTTTCTTATGGTTATTGGCACATATATGACCGGCTTGCCCATATCCTTTTACATTTTAAATCATTAATCATTTCATTAATGATTTGTAAGAGTTCTCGATATATTTGTAAATTAGACATTAGATACAAGGAATAATAACCTAGTATATACAATTAAATGTTAAACTCATACATTATAATCATTTCTACATTTCACTAGTGTTTTGTAACGTCTTCTGCCATATGAAAAGCACAATTTGTGTTCAAATGATCAATATTTACCTCTTTCTCGAAATGGGGCCTGTCGTAATACACAAGTCACTTGAATGGAAGGAGCACGGTGTGGCGGAAAGGAGAATTAAGAGCCAGACTTGAGTTTGCCTGGCATAGCGAAGTTGCGGCACCCAGCTCTCCAAACTCTGTAACTTTAAGCACGGTTAACACAAACCAGTTTCCTCATCTACAAAATGAGGAAGAGGAACCCAGCAATCGTTAATTCTTTTTCCTTCCACTCAGCTGGAGGCAGTTAATTGCCAACGCGTCCAGCTTCCCCACGAAGGCCAAAGGAGTGGGAGCTGTAATTTTGAATTTACATTCAACCTTTCTTCCAGGAGGCTTTCAGCAGTCCACTAAACTACTGAGTGTGTGTAAAGGGATGATAAGGTCTCCGGGTAGAAAACCTTTGTGGTTTGCAGAGGATGAGCTCGTTATTTTCTGGGTTTCCCTTTCCCCACATTCCCCCAGGTCCACAGGTGGTTTGTCCTGAAAGGCTAACTTAAATGGGGGGGGGGGGGACGCTTCGCTTGTTACTCGAGGTGACTACACGACGATCATTTAAGAAATCGCGTGGGCGGCGTACCTTCAGCACAGGTAAAAGTGACAACCGGCTCGCCGACAGTGTCCGCTAGCCGTACTGATCCTTGGGGAGTCCGAGCCTAGTTCCCCGGGAGCGAGTCGCAAGGCCTCAGCACCCGCTCCCGCGGGCCAAGCGCGTGTGCACCAGGACGCCCGGCCGCCGGCTCCACGCCGCCAGCGCCCATCGCGAGCACGTGACCTGCGCCGCCGGGCCCAGAGCCGGACCAGTGAGTGGCGCGCCGCGTGTGCCCCCGCACCCTGCCGCCTGGCCGCCTGCGGTGGAGCGTTTCCGTCTCGTCCTCCGGGCAGCCCCACCATTTAGGCCCCCCACGGCCCCGGGCGGGGCCAGGGCGGGAGGAGGGAGCGACGGGGAATTCCTCTCCTTCAGAACGTTCCCGATTGTTCAGGGGGAGCACGTCAGCAGCAGGGGGTAATCCCCGACTCCAGCTGCTGCTGACGTCATCGCGCGGAGCCCCCGCCCCCGCGGCCACCTCGAAGCCCCGCCCCAGGCGTAGCCACGCCCCGGCCCCAACCCCCAGCGGCCTAACGTAGAGGGCGGAGCGTCCTCGGCCGGGCCGTGAGCTGTAGCTCGGGCCAGAAGGTTCTGTGGTGGAGGCGCTCCTCTTGCTGCCCCGCCCAGTAGGTTCGTCTGCAGCGCTTCCTCCGCGCCCTGTCTCCCTTCTCGTCCGCGCCCCGCCTTTCCCCCCGCCCCCCCCCCGCCCCATCTCCTCTGCCCTCTAGTTCCTTCCCCGCCTCACCACCTTCCCCCATCTCGCGAGACTTGGCCCAGAACATTGCGGATCGGGTCGGCGCCATTTTGGGACGGAGACTGGTTGTGGGGGAGGGAAAAGCGGCAAAAGGGGATTATTCAAAGTACCAAGATCTTCGTCCCGGGACCGAGAGCGGGCACCCCAGGCCGGGGACACCTGCGGGGTGGCAGAAGGTAACGCGGTGTTCGGTGCCGGCGCCGGAGTCGGGGGTGCCGTGTGGGCGTCGGGGCCGGGGTCGGTCGGCGTTGGCGGCGCGCGGTGCCCGCGGAGGGGTGCGGGAGCCGAGAGCAGGCCGGTGCGGGGGTTTCGGGGGGTAGCGTGGCCCGGCGGCGGCGGGGCTGGGGCCGTTCCCTTCCGCGCGCTGTCGCCCTCTCGGGCTCCGGGGCCCGGCGGTCAGGGCGTGAGGTCGGGGCCTCCGCCTGGGTGCCGGGCGCTCTGGGTCTGAGCGGCTCTTCGTGGTGGACGCGTCGGGGGAAGCCGCTTCCTGCGTGGAGAGAGCCGGTACCTGCATCTCGCCCGGCGGCCGCCCGCGGAGGCCGGTGCAGGCATGGTGTCGCCCTCGGTGTCCGCCGGGTCGGCCCTCGGTCCTTGCAGCCCCGCGGGAGCGGCTTTCCCCGACTCGTCTGGGCGAGAGCTCGGCCCCACACCTGTCGGTGCCTTGTCTCTGTGCCGGTGATGGAGAACGCAGGCGAGATGCTCTGTTAGGCTGGGTGCCGCTCCCGCGGTGGCGACGTTTGGCCGGAAAGTGTGAGGCTCCTTATGTAAGCCCGCGTGGTGCCCGCGCCCCTTCTCACCGGAATCGGTGCTGTGCCCCCCGCCCCCGTTCTCCAGCCGCGGCCGCTCGGATCCTGCGCGCCGCTTCCAGACCCCGGCGGCGTCTCCGCAGGTCCGCGTTTGAACGCGGGGTTAATTTTTAGTTCCACGTCAGAAGTCTGTAATTCAAGCTTTTTTTTTTTCTGGTAACTTTTACAGGTGATCGGATTATTCAGATATGAAGATCATCTTCTAGCTTTTGTGAAAAAGGCCCCGGATATTTCAAGTGGCCATTTTGGAATTACAATGTTTTTGGACAGTTTTGCCCCAGAAGTTTATTAGAATGGAGAGAATCGTCTCTGAAGCGAATTGATAGTAGTGAGAAGCTCCACAAGCTACTTGAACAGAAACCCGGCTGTCTTCAGTGTTTGGTTCAAACGAATTACATAACCGGTTGAAGTGTTTCAGCTGCTGGTGATCCCCGCCCCCCCACCCCCTTGTGTCTTCAGCCCAAACTGTAAGATATGTTTGATTTGTGCGCGGAGTGGTTTCGGAAGTTTCCAGTTCCTGTTTAAATATTGCTGAAGTTCCACGGCAGTTTATTTTTACCCTCGTTAAGACTTTTAGGAATTTTTGATCTCCACCCCTTTCATGGCATAATGGGACAGCTTTTCTAAATGAAGACTTCGAAGGAGCACAGAGTTTTTTTCCTTTTATCTTTTATTTACGAGGAAATTTAAGATGTTGCCATTTCCCAGCAGCATGGTAGTGTCGAGATAGCTGTCTCGAGTGCCGATGTTCAGGAATGCTCTTCAGATGTGACGTTTTCTTTTCGTTTTTGCTTTTTGGCTTATAAATTGGATATTTCATCTCGAGTGGATAAGTACCGCAGTGACAAGTACATGGAATAATCAAGAAGCCCTTACACTCCCGCATCCAAGGACGTGGCTGGTTGCGGAGATAGCCACAAGAACCCTCGACAGCGGAAGCATGGGTAGCTGACTTGAAGGAGGAACTCTATGTCAGATAGTCGTAGGTCAAGTGTCTTTAGAGAACTTGAATTTTATTTCAGAGGATACAAAATAAAAAAACAAACTGGAAAACACAAAGATAACGGAGGAAACCCCAACGCCTTCCTGTGCGGTCCTGCTGGAATTTGTGAGTACCACCGGGGAGCTAGTCGCAGTGCCCTTCCTGTGATGTAAGGAGGGTCCAGCTTAGCCTGCGCTCTTAGGGGCCTTTCAGTTTCTCGCGAAAATTGCTTTGACTTGAGATTTCTGGACAGTTTGAAAACAACTGTTAAGTAAATTTAAATGCAGAAAGAGTTAAGATCAAGAACATTCGGATCAAACAGTCCAAAGTTTAAGTTTTTGTGTTCCTAAAGTGGAAGACGAAGTCCACATGGTCGTTATCCACCTTAGGCTTGTAGATTTCACAGAATGGTAGGAAAAAAACCTGACAAATGATTTCATGTTTAAAACACTGTAATGTGGGGCTTGGTTTTTAATCTGATATTTCACGAAATAGCGTGTTAGAAATAAGTTTTTGAAACAGTTGCAGTGGTTGTATTTCAAATTGTTCTTTAAGATCTGTTTCAAAAAGTCAAGTCATTACCAGGAACAGAAACGGAGGGGGACTGAGGTAGAGATGTGAGGACTTTCAGAGTAGCTCTAAAAACGAGCGTGTTTTTTTTTATCTCCTCTTAGAACCATTATGTTGGTTTAAGTTGACAAAGCTTTTTATGAGAAAGTGAATATTAACTTCTGTAATAGAAAGCCTTTGGTAAATGAATTATCTTTTAACACAACTTCACAGGATTGAATGGTGTTTTTAATTACCACGAATTACTACTTTTGGCTGTAATAGAAAGCCTTTTGGTAAATGAATTATCTTTTAACACAACTTCACAGGATTGAATGGCGTTTTTAGTTACCATGAGTTACTACTTTTGTTCAGTGAACCATAGACATTCATTTGAAATGTTTTTAAATCATTAAATTCTTTAAGCAATTGCTATTAGTGAACACATCAATGTAGCTAAAGTTAGTTTCACTTAATTATCTGTCTGAGATAAAAGACTAATTTTTGAACACTTGGCTAAGATGGTCTGTAACTTGTCAGTAGGTCATTTGTTTTGGTAACAATTTTTTTTGCCATATGGTTGAACCTCCTTAGCTATTTAGATCAGAAGAGGTGGTAGGGTCCAAAGAGTGTGGGTGTTTAGGTGTGCATGTGCAGCGTTTATTTTCTGATCTGACATGGAGGTTAGAGTTCAGTACTTCTGTTAACCCAGACCAGGTGGTTTTTGTTTTTTTCTGTCAGATGCTGTATAGTGTTTTTGATTGAGTTTCCACCTTGATTTGTTTGAAATGTGATGAGAACATTCTCCCTTGTCCTTGCTTCAGGGAGCTTGGGTTTTATGCTTTCCTCAGTTTAATGGCTTTTCAAGTTACCTGCCTGAGATGCGTCTTTAACGTGGTTAAGGAGAACTGGAAATGAATGGTCTTTATTTTCAGAAAAGAGTCAACATATCATTTGTGGTTATTTTCCTTTAAATTATTCCTGTTGACGTTGTTACCTAAACAGTATTTTTAACAATTAACTTTAATCCTTGAAGAGAACATTCGTAATCTTTGCTTATAGCAGTTGTTCAAGGATGTCTTGATAGATATTTTATCGTATTTTATTTTCTTGGCATTGAAATATGTAGTACCACTTGTAATTGGGACAGTGACCTGCTGCTGCTTGTCTCTGTAGAAGTACCTCTTTTCTCCTCTTTGTCTTCCCTTCTCTTTTTCTTCCTGTGCCTAAACTACAGGTGTAAAAAGAACACAGAATGACTAACCTTTATAGATGATGGTCGTGCCGTGTGTTTTTGTGTTTTGCTGTGTACTTACATGGGACATGTTCATTCTTACCCCCCTCCTAGGAGGGAGCACTGTTAACAGTGGTACAGGTGGGAAAGTGAAGATGGACAGAAACTGTGGTGTCAGGTTACCTTGAGTTCCTTCACCTGTGCTCTCTGCACAGGCTTGGAGCTCAGCGCATGTTAGCTTTGTTTTCTCCGGTTTTCAGTTGAGATTATTGAGTGGAGTTTTGTGCCTAAAGCTGCTGATAGAATCAAGGAAAAGGGGAACAGAAGGAAAATAAGAGCAATGGAAAATAATAGGGAAAGAATAGGAGTGGGCCGAAAGAAGAAAATAAAAATCAGAGTTACAGGAGATGGGATTAAGGATGGGAATTTCTAGTCTAAGTAAATTAGCAAATGAGGATGGAAAGCTAACCCAGGCCAGATTATCTAATTGTCTTTGATGCAGTCACTTTTTCTGTTCAGTTCGTAATGATGATATTTAGGTGACCATTTAGATCTAGATACTTGCTGTCATGTAGAAAATAGGGAACGTCTGGGGGTTAGAAATATTTTTGGTTTAGGATTTGGAATATCTATAAAAGGGCCCATGTGACCTTGTATATTCATCTAACTTCTTTTGGTTCTAGTTCTTCATAAAAAACTTACGGAAATAATGCGTTTGAATTTTTTGTTGTTGTTGTTAATTAGAGCGTAACATAAACAGTTTTATTTGGATATTTCAAGATTCTCTTTACTGTCAAGTCAGTAGTTATCATAGTCTCTGACATTGTTTTTTTCTCTCTTGTTTCTGTTAATGGCATCGCCAGCAATGCCATTCATGCCCTGTCTTCCCATTTCCAGTTGCATTTATTCTAGCTTGGTTCTTAGCTAAGAAAGTCACCTTGTTAGCTTGCTTTTTTGCCTTTAGCTCCATTCTCTTCTACCCATATTCTCTCCTGTGGCCAGAGAGTCTATCTCAAGTACAGCGCTTGATTCTGTTGCTCTAAGCAGCCCTGGTTGTGTCTGGGACACTTACTGGGAGTGTCTCCCCCCAATCCCCTGTGTTTTGTGTGTCAGGTTCCTAACATGAATTCTTTTTGTTTGCATGAGTGGGTGTGGGAGACAGTACAGTTTGAGAATTCTCCGAAGTGGACAGTTTTAGGGGTGCTTATGTATTTTTCTGGGAATCAGCTCCATTACTTTTAGTACGACTCTCACAGGAAACAAATTGTTGGAGTTACTGATAAACTTTTAGTGGTTGGGTCTTCTCTTTTCCCCCTGCTTTTACTGCTTGCTCTTTTCCTTTTTGTCCACTGCTGCACCCAGCATTTACGGGCTTTCGCTCTGTCCCTTCGTGTAGTTGCTGGTTCCTGCATCTTTTTACACCAGACGTCCCACCCGGTTTCTTGTCAGTCATCTTTCTGTCGACGGCCTGCGACTGCAGTGTTTCTGCTCTTTCATTTGCTGCCCTTTAATTGAGTTTCGAGACTATGTATTTTTAAATCATATTTAAGAGTTTTCTCATACTTTTTAAATTTTCAGCAAGAACAAAGAGTTAATATCCTAGTCAAACAGGTTGTTTCCTTTGAATTCAGAATTTGCAAGTAGATTTTTAAAAATTCTTTAAAAATCTTAGGAGCAAGTTACCTTTGCATGTGCATATTAGTAAAAGAAATTAGTTTGCTTTTCAGTGAACATAAATATATATCCTTTTATTGAGTGAGCTTTAAAAATAATATTTATTTCACATTTTTGTGGGTAGGACGTTTGGGAGTAGTTTAGCTGAGTGGTTCTGGTTCCCTCCAGGTCTTTGATCAAATCTCAGGACATCGGCCAGGTCTGCATTCAGTGGAAAGCCTGCGGGGCTGAGGCTCTCCCTCCAGGTGTCCTCACTGGCTGGCCTGTGGGTGCTGCCTGCTCAGTTCCTGACCCTGGAGGGCCTCTCCATCCAGCTGCCTGACTTGCTTTGCTGTGTGGCAGCTGCATCTCCCAGATCAAGTAGTGGAGAAAAGAGGTCAGTGCCTTCCTGACCTGCCTGTTCTCAGAAGTCACTGTCTCCTCGCTGGAAGCAAGTCGTCACCTCTAGATGGCAGTTGAGGGCAGTGGCGCTCGACTCCCTTGTGTCAAGAGAATTTGTGGACGTATTAAAAACCGCAGTAGGAGACCATCCTCCCCAACCAGTAGTTGTCACCATAATTAGCCAAAGTTTTCACCCTGCAAATAGAAAGTTGTGCCATTACAAGTTTAGAGAAGAAGGAGTGTTCTAAATTTAAATGAATTTAGAATGTTTAGATCTTTGTACCTTTCTAGCTAATGTATGAGATGTGGAGGCAAGGTCCCTCCCCCTCTTGTACTAATTTCCCAATCAGTGTATGAGAGGAAATAAACATACTATTTTAGCCACTTAAATTTTGTCTTTTATTTATTAAAGCTGGGGACAGTGAACCAAGGAAGGGCTTAGGACAGAAGTAGCAGCAGGAGAGAGCCCAGGTGGGGCTGCTTTGGTTTCCTGGGCAGTGAGAGAAGAGGGGCCGCGGAGACAGGTTCGGGGTGAGCCTGGGATGGGCCCTTAGAGTGGAGGAGGTACAGCTTGAGAGGGAGGGAAGGAGGGAGGGCGGGCATGTGTGAGTGAGCCTGGGAGGGAGCACGCGCCTACCACTTCTCACTGTTAAGTCTGTGGCATTGAGTCCTCCATACTATTGTGGAGTCATCCCCACAATCCACCTCCAGAACTTCTTCACCTTTCCAGGCTGAAACGCTACCCGGTGAGCATGAACTCCCCGGCTGTCCCCGCTGGAACTGCACTCCTCTAGGTGTCTCATGGGGGTGGAGTTGTGCACTGTTGGCCCTTTTGTGACTGTCTTATTTCATTTAGCATGATGTCCTCCAGGTTCATGCATGTTATAGCAGGTGTCAGAGTCCTGCCCCCCCCCCCCCCTTTTTTTTTTTGTGGTCCCACAGGCTCATCCAAGGATTCTGACCAGGTAAGCTTAGAGGCTGAGAGGAGATTCTGGAAATGAGAAATAAGGCTCCCCGAGGCACACAATTCCATCTGGCCAGCCTCACCTTCTTACACTGCAGCAGGTCCCCCCAGGTCCCATAAGCTAGGGAAGACACAAGACACTATTTCTACAATATGACCCTGATAAGTCAGCCTTTTGAAGGCCATTGACATCTTTGAGAATATGATAAAACCTATGGCTCCAGAAAAACGTACAAACATACACCATTTAGGGAGTTCAGGGACCCCAGTAATTCCACTCATAGCCCATAGGTTAATGGCCTTGATGCAAAGTAGGGGGAAACC